ATGACCTTGTGGCTGGCCCGGATATGGGGACATGTGCTCAGATGTTCCGAAGAAGTTCATCTTGTCAAGTGTCGTGCTGTTCTTGGTAAAGCTGCAGGTTGCTGTACTGTCAGATTCCTTTGTTTACTCTTGGTTATAAAATCCCACTGTACTTTGGCTCGGGGCTCTCTGCCTCTGTCCTGTTTTCAGGACATGTAGTGAGCCCCAGCATGCTTGGACAATAAACCCTGTGCGTGTTGCATGAGAAATTCTCCTGGAGTCTCCTTCACGGGCAGCGAGCGTCTTGACCCTAACATTTGGAGGTCCCACCGAGATCTGCTCTGCTGCCCCGGCCGTCTCCAACGGGCTCTTCTCGGGGTAAGTAAGGCACCCCGAAACTGGGAATCGCCATCGCGTAAGGCCAGGTGCTGACTGGCATGGTGACTGTCGGTGCGAGGCGTGAGCCTTCTCGGACTGTGGCTGACAGTCGTGTCCGGGAGCCCAGGTCACGCCCCCGGGGGCGCCCTGGTGGTGTGATAAAGGAACTTGGGAACGCCTGGATGTCTCCTAGGAGGCGGGTGCTGCGACTTTGTTGCCAGCAAAGTCAGGGAGGCTGCTAATGGTTTAGTTTCAACATGAGTTTCTATAGTTATAAAATGGGTTCATCTCAGATGTCAGCTTGCTGTAATAGTTTCTGAAAATGGAGAATTTCATGGGAAAGGTGGGAAATTTTACTAACTATATTGTGAGTCAGCATGTCCAGTGCTTGAAAGTACATGCTACTATTTTGATAACTTTATTCCATGCAAAGCCTTGTCACCAGCCCTGATCTCCAGAGAGCTTTGTACACAAGTGTGAAATCCTTAATGTTGCATGATAATCTAGGACTGTTTTAATCTTTTTCCTGGAAATCAAAATTTTAAGACGTCTTCTGGTTAACTTCCAATGTCAAGTGATCTTTTGCCCAGTGAATACCTTGTAAGAGCTTTAATTGTGAGCATTTTTAAGACTTTTTGAGTAGCTCTAGAACTGATCTAATGCTTTTGAAATAGCACTGCAGAGTACAGTTTTGTTATGTTAAGTGAGATTATTGGTAGCTGTGTCCAAACTTGGGAGATCGTGTTGAACTAAGATCAGTAAAATAAGAGTTCAAACTTGTGGGATGACAGGAATATAGATGTAAGTCTTAAGTCAGAAAGATAAATGATGGAGATATCGTCAGTGGGAAAAGGGAAAGGGATCCTGTGAAAGTGAAGATGTTTTTTTACAGGACGGAATGAATGTTAAGGAATGTGCAGAAGGTTAGAGGTTGTCAAACTGTATTGTTACAAGAAAATTTGAATTACGCCTGCAGAATTGTTCTAGTGAATTTTTGGTAAGCTCTATGGAAAAGATATTGGACAGATTGGCTAGACTCCTGGTACAGTGCTCTTAGAAAATGGAAGTCAAGATTTAAACATGATGCTAAATTGTATCCTTTTTCGCTACAGATTTAAGCTTCTTTTGACTAGGACCCACAGCAAATGGGTGGATTGCACCTCACCGTGAGTAAGGTGACATGCTTGCTCTTCTCTTCTTTTATACCTTCAGTATGTTCTTTAATGCTCCATGGCACTATGTTGGTTTGTATGAATCTAGGTAAGTCTTTCCTCTCTTTAATAGGAGTGATGCTTGAGTGCACCGCCAGGAGTAAGCCCCTCACATCACTAGGTGTGGCCCGAAAAGAAAAGAAAAGAAAAGAAAAGAAAAGAAAAGAAAAGAAAAGAAAAAGGCAGATGGGCCTAAGCATATCTGAGCTTTGCTCTGAAGTCTGGGGCCGCAGGGAGCACAGGCTTTGCAGGAGGCAGAGTTCCCTCCCTCCACCCAGCCCCCAGCAAGGACCCAGGAGTATCCCCAAGGCCAGCCCACTGCCAGGCTGCTGAAGATGGAGGACACAAGGAAGGGAAATGCGTTTCCCATGAATTCTACTGTGCTGTAATTCCCTGTGACACAGCGCACCCGCCACCCCACCCCACTGTGAGTTCTGGTTGCGGGGAGACCCCCTCCTCTGTACTCTTGAGTGGCGATTGCCGGGGTCTGCTGCGCGTCCACGGTTGCCGTCCGTCTCAGCTCCTTCCATCCGCTCATCCTCCCAGCCCCCCAGAGCTGGTCCCAAATGGTCGGTTCATCCCTGGTGCTGTTTGCAGGAGACAGCTCCAAAGTTGGGGGCACACAGACACCAGAGTCCCATCCTCCCCTATGCTCCACACAACGCACAGCCCCCCAGAATCTAGACTGGTGCCCTGGCTTGAGGAGGAAACATCTATCAGAACGGGAAGCAGTTTTTTGTTTCATTTTGGTTTTCTTTTTTAAGGCACTCGTCTTGGGCATGCAACTTAGTGCTGGAGCGGTAGCACAGCGGAGTAGGGCGTTTGCCTTGCATGCGGCCGACCCGGGTTCAATTCCCAGCATCCCATATGGTCTCCTGAGCAACACCAGGAGTAATTCCTGAGTGCAGAGCCAGGAGTAACCCCTGTGCATCGCTGGGCGTGACCCCCGGCAAAAATAAATACATAAATAAATTTTGAAAAATAAATGACCCATTTACCCATTTGTCCTTTTCCCTCTGCTGTCTCATCACCTCTGTTCCCCTTCCCCCCCATGTCCCAGGAATGTTTATGCAGCCATCCATGGAAAGTCACTCCTTCAGGGACCGCAGAAGTCGTAGAACTGGTACTATCTTGTCTTGTACACAGCTGAGCTGGGTTCAATCCCTGGCACCCCATGTGGTACCCTGAGCCCAGAGCCAGGGTAAACCCTGAGCATGGCCAGGTGTACACACATCCACCCCAAAGAAAAAAAAACGTTCAGTGAATCAAAGGAACAAATGATGACTTTATTTTTTTTTGTGGGAGTAAAAAATTTTTAAACTATTAAAAAATTTTAAAACAAATATTGAACTGATTTGAACCAGTGAGTATGACACGAACATCCACAGCTGTCCTGGACCCCAGACTTTAATGAGATCCCCCACTTCACACGCACCTCTGTCTCTCTCCAAATATGCATCCCAGGAGCCACACTTCTGTCCCCTCTCATGTCCTTTCCAGGCTGTGGCATTGCCCCGTCTTGACTGGCCGTCCGTCCCCGCCCTGTGCTCTCCCACACACGTCCTTTTGTGGTGTAAATGCTCTCTCTCACACACACACTCACACACAGCCACACACACACCCGTTGGGTTGTATCTATTGTGTCTTTGCTCCTTCTCTGTCTTGCCGCCCTCTCTCCCCAGGCCAGGTCCAAATCCTCCTGCTCTGCAAGCCAGCCCGGAGGAGAGTCTGGCCGAGGCTGTGAGGCCACCCACTCTGTAGGCCCCGAGCTCTCATCCTCTACCGGAAACCATGTTCATCTTTCTGTTCTGGCCTTTTGCAAATTGCCTTTTTGTTTAAGAGCAACTCACTTTGGTCCTCTCCAGAGACTGGATGAAAACCATTCTCTGTTGGATTAGTCGGAACAATCTTTGCCCCTGTTCAGGCTCAGAAAGGTTTCAAAAACAAAATCTCCGAACTTGCTGAAAGTTACTGAAATGAGTGAGAACCAATGGATACTCCCAGCATAAAGCCGCTCTGCAAGACATTCGTATAATTGCTTTGCATGTGTGTGTTTTAATTGTTGTCATTGCTTGGTAATAATTTATTCCAGAAATAGCACTTCAACCTGGGATTAGGTGTTTAAAAGAATTCTTTTTTTGGGGGGGGTGCAACAAGTCCTTTTTTTTCTTTTTTCTTTCTGTTCTCCATCTCCCAAAGTTATTAACTTGTTTCTTTAAATTCAAATGGACACAACGATACGCAGGTTCTGGCATGTACACATAGGCAACCTTTTTCTCCCTCACAGTAAGTAAAATTTCACTAAACTGCAAGCATCAAAGCCTGGGCCCCTCCCCCTGCAACAGTCCAGGGAGCCGTTGAGCCTACGTTCTAGGGCAGTTGTGCACTGGCCTCCCTCTGGGTTGATTTCTGGCATTTTGAACTCTTTGGTCTTTTAGAGAATCCGTGTTCATAAGAGACCCCGATGAAGAGAAAGCTTCCCTGCAGAAATCCATCAGTATTACCAGTGCTTTGCTCAGGGAGAAGGACGCAGAGCTGGAGAAGCTGAGAAATGAGGTCGAGCCCCGGCCCCGCCCACGTGGACCCGAGCCACGCCCATCTCCGCCCGGGCCACGCCCACAGGGCCGAGCCACGCCCATCTCTCTGAACCACGCCCACATTGGCCTGAGCCACGCCCACCCCAAGGGGCCAGGGTGGGATAGCCGGGGCTGGGCGGAACCAAGAGGCGGAGCCCCAGACCCGGAAGAGGCACGGAGTCCCTGGCCCATTCCGGCTTCTGGCGGAGGCGAGACGTCACGATGTTCACGTGACCCGGGCGTCACGTGGCGGCGGGGCTGGGCGGCTCCGAGGCCGCGCCTGTCCTCCGCGCGGGAGACCCTGGACTCCCTGCGCGATTCCCGGGCGAGTGCGCGGGCAGCGAGGGGAGGGCCCCGGGCAGGCGGCGGCCTCTGGAGCCGGGGGCGCCCCCAGTGCAGCCCGAGCGAGGGGGCGTTGCGCTCCCGCCCTGCGGCCCGGCCCTGGGAGGGAAACGGGGCGACTCGAGTCCGTCTGGCAGGCCGAGCGCAGCCCCGCGTCCAGGCCCTCCCCGCTGTCCCGCGTGCGGGTGTCGCCGCCTGCGACCCTGGAGCCACTTTCCCAGCTGCCTGCTCCTCCAGGGTCTCCTTGGCAGTTCACCCGGGGGTCCATGACCCCAGTCCGACCCCAGGACCCTGCAGACACACTCTTTGTGGAGGACAGTGACTGTGCGTCCGTGGCCAGTCGGGCCCCTTGCCCTGATGGTGTTTTTCTTCAGGCCCCGGAATATGAGTGTGTCAGCTGTTGCTCACTGCAAGCTTTGTTTGTCCGGAGTTTGCAAATGACTGTTGTTTGCTGCTGGCTGTTACTGAAATTCCTTTTACTCAAAGGACGGGATGCTTCTCCCTCCCGCAGGCAGTAGTTTGGGATGAGCATCTCACAGGACCGTTTAGCTTGCTTGCACAGTGCTCACTTCTAAAGGTAAAAGGGTTTTGGTTATTTTTTTTTTTTGAAACTGTCATTCTGGACTCTAGCAAGAGTAATGTGATGTTCCACTTCTGGAGTAACTGGTGTGCAGAGCTGTCTGGCTTTTAGAATCACTGACGCTTGTATGAGTGGTAAATGTTTTATCTTCTGTGGACCTTTTGTTTATTTATTTGAAGGAAAAAACCTTTTATTTGGTGACTTTTAGGAAGAGGACGAGCGGAGAGAGAAACATTTCAAGAGAGACCGCGGGCTTCTGCAAAGGCAGAGAGAACCCCTACACACATCCCAAGATTAGACAGGAAAGCACAAAAGTCCCCATCTCAAGGAGAGCTGCGGGCACCGCATTGGCTCGGCTACATGGGCACAGGCAGCTCAGGGGCTCGGGCAGCATCGGAGCCTTCAGTGGACCTTTCAAGGGTGGGTGTGCTCCCCCCTCTTCTCGACGGATCAGCATGTCTTCTGATTGTTACTTAATGTGGCTCAAAGTTTTTCAGACACAGGATTGGTTACTTCAGCCTGAATTTATACACCTGGCTTTGGGGAATCTAAATTTTTATACTAAAGTGGTTTTGAATTTTATTTGGAGGCTCGTGCCAGGCAGTGCTCAGGACTTACTCCTGGCTTTGCACTCAGGATCACTCCTGGCAGTGCTCAGTGGACAGTATGGGGTGCTGGGGATAGAACCCCGGGTCAGCTGAATGCAAAGCCAGCACCTTCCCCGCTCTACTTTCTCCCTGGCCCCGGGTCTCCTGAGCACTGCCCCAGGGCACCTCCTGGTGGTGATTCTTAGCAGTTCGATGATGCTTGGTGCTGTGGTGGCAGCAATATCCCAGGCCACTCCAGTGGCCTCTCCAGGGATGCACATGGCAATGCTAGAGACCCTTGTGGTGCCAGGGGGCGAAGTTGGCAGTCATGTGTCAGGCATGTACCTTAACCCCTGCACTCTCTGACTCTACACTAAAGTATACTGTGCTTTGGAGCGGGAGTGTTACAACACCTGAGTTTTTGTTGTTGGTCTGTTTTGTTTGGGCCACCTTTGGCAGTGCTCAGGCATACCCCTGGCTCTGCACTCACGATTGACTCTTGGTGGTGTTTGGGGACGGTGTGGGACGCCAGCAGTCCAACCCAGGTTGGCTGCCTGCAGTGATGCGCAAGTTTGGGTCGGCTGGTAAGTTTTAGGGGTTCTGTTCACCTTTTGTATGTGTGCTTTCCTAGGAACATGAGGTGGAGAAAATGTTCACACTCAAAGGAAGCCTCTTGCCAGCAGCCGATGTCAAGAATATCAATTTTTTCGTCAGACCCCGGCTAGAACTGATGGATATAATGGCTGAAAATGTGCTTAGGTATCTCAGAGCTGATGCTGGGTCCATACGGAATCATTCCTCTAGTGGTTTGAGTGCTCATCAGGACACCTTTGCTTGCCAGCGCTTTGGGAAGTGGATCTTTGGACAGATGTGAGAGTGTGTTGGAGGAGAATGGGGGGTCAGGAGCAGGATACTCTGCAGTCAGCCAAGGATAGATCCTCGGAACCCAGTGCGGTCCCCAAGTCTCCCGGGAGTGACTTCTGAGTGCATAGCCAGGAGTTATCCCTGAGCACCTGCCGGGGTGGCCCAAAAACTGTAAATAGAGAATGGGAAATTTTGTGTATTGGGGGTTGGGGAGGCAGGGCAAACCACATAAACCCCCTGTCTCAGGACAGTAGAAAGCTCCGGCCTGTCTCAATAGAAGGACCCGAATTTCGTTATAAAAAGAAAAGCAGCTAGGGCTGGAGCAATAGCACAGCGGATAGGTGTTTGCCTTGCATGCAGCCAATCCGGGTTTGATTCCCAGCATCCCCTATGGTCCCCTGAGCACTGCCAGGGGTAATTCCTGAGCACAGAGCCAGGAGTAACCCCTGTGCATTACCGGGTGTGACCCAAAAAGCAAAAAAAAAAAAACAGCTTTTCAAGTACTGAATACCATTGTTGGGGTCGGGAGTTCCCTAGCCCTGGGAGGCACGGAGAGACCAGACAGACAACGTTCCTGCAGGAATTCAAGCGGGGTTTTATTCAGACCAGCATGTTGGGGCTCCACAGCATACCCAAGAACGGGCAGAGGCTGGGAGCCTCGAACTCAGAAGCAGGTAATCTTTTATACAGTTTGAGAACAAAGACCACATATTGCCAATACGTGTTATTTTGCACAAGTTTTGCCAATACGTGGTTTGCTGGGTTCCTTGCAGTTTTTCTTGGAGTATCTCGACCCAACCTTCTTGACCTGGTCACATAGTTTCAGTTTCCAGGATGGTCAAAACATTCTACCTATCCTTAAATAGTTATGTCTTATTCTAGCTCATACCTTACACATCTACTGGGTTCAATCCAATTTTGCAACCTCAAGGCTGCTGAACTGTTTACAGAAAGCAATTTTGCAAGTTAATTAACTCCTTCCTAGCCTTCCTAGCTCCTTTCACCATATGCTCAAATTTTATAAGCAAAGTCAGGAGAAACTGATTAAAAATTAATGCTGCAGCATCTGTGGAGGAAGTGCACCAGCCCAGTCTGCATTACGTTTAATCGACATGGCCCCTAAGGACTTAAAAGCATGGGGGCTATTTGCGCGAGATCGGGCACGGTGTGGAGCAACCTTTTATTTTCCTAGAGACAAGCCAACACATTGCTTGATTAAATAAAAACATGTTTTCTCTGCAAGAAACAGATGTCCGTTGCAATAACCCTGAGAGGTTTTTTTTTCTTTTCTTTTTGTGTGATACCCGGCAATGCACAGGGGTTACTCCTGGCTCTGTACTCAGGAATTACCCCCGGTGGTGCTCAAGGGACCATATGGGATGCTGGGAACTGGGAATCAAGCCCGGGTCGGTTGTGTGCAAGGCAAACGCCATACCTGCATCAAAAAGCATCAAAATCAAGAGAGCAAGAAAACTAGAATCTTGGGCCGAGTCAGTGGTGGGGGGTAGCTCATAAGCGTCTCTTTACAGCCCACTGTTTGTCAGGCACGGGGGGGCCCTGGGGAGCAGTCCTCGCCTTGGGGCCTCGGGCCAACGCACGGTCCTTCTCTTGCAGTGAAGACAGACGTGGCCCCACAAGAGATTTCCACATTTTGTTTGTGCCCCGGCGTAGCCTGCTGTGTGAGCAGCGGCTGAAGGACCGGGGCGTCCTGGGCTCCTTCATCCACAAGGAGGAGTACAGCCTGGACCTCTTTCCCTTCGACGGGGACCTTCTCTCCATGGAGTCGGAGGGCGCCTTCAGAGTAAGTTCAGTGTTTGCCCTTTGAACTTGACACTCGTTTCTGCCTCGTTCGTGATGGCGACACTGACACTGGCATTTCAGTGATTCCTGGAAGCCGCCAGTTTCTTCCTTTTGGGGAGAGACGGGAGTTGGGCCACACCCAGCAGTGCTCAAGGTTTACTCCTGGTTCTGTGCTCAAGGATCACTCCTGCCCATGCGCGGGGACCATATGTGCTGCCGGGGATAGAACCCAGGTTGGCTGCGTGCAAGACCAGGGCCTTCCCCTGTGCTGTCTCTCGGGCCGCTGCTCCTCTTGCGTATGGAGACGCTCCTGTTTCAACAAATTGGCTTAAAATTGTGATTGCCCTTACTGAATTCTCAAAAATCAATTGTCCTTAAATGTGTTTATCTCTGGTGTTTCTCTGCTGCTGGTCGATGTTTGTCCTTGTGCCCGTCCCACCCTGACTTGACTGGCTGTGGAGGAAGCTTCGAGAGTGGAAGGCAGGGCCGCTCTAGCCAGAAATACTCAAGTCTGTCACTGCGTTTTTCCAGTTAGCCATTTGTGAGGGATTTTGTTTCCATGACCCGCCTTTCCCCTTGATTGAGACTTGGCAGGACCTGAAGTCTCTTATCTTACATTTTCATTTTCTAGAAGTGAAATTGCTTACATTTTTCATTCAAACTCTTGAGGTTGTTAGGGCGCGGATCGTGATCTCCCTTTAACGACAGAGACTCCAGAGACTGCAAACAGCAAGCAAGGTTTATTGTAAGACTGGCTAGCCAGGGTCAAGCCTCCTACACAGACACGCAGGTCAGTTAGGTGAGGCAAGACCCCGAACTTCTTCAAAGGGGATCTTATATAGGCCTTCACTGGCCGTTGCAGCAAAGCCCGCGCATTTCATAACCAATAGATTTGTAACAACATATGCTTTCTTAACCAATCCCATTAAGGGTACATCACTTCTTAGCCTATAGTTTAAAGATCAGCATTTTGCGTCAGTGCTTAGGAACTGACAGGTTTTTAAGGCAGTCCTGGGTCTTGCAACATGGGTCTTGTGAGAGACATCCGGTTATCTGGTCTGACCCCCACCCTTTACCTGTGCCTGTATCTGAATTCCTTGGTCAGGGGCAGAAAAACCAGTTATTTTGCAGTGCAGACTCCTATAAAGCGATCTGAAAAAGCTATCTAGACCTGTTCCTTGAAAAACAAGTTATTTTGCAATGCAGGTTCCTATTAAGCTAAGCTAAATTATTTCTGGTGGTAGTCCATTTTGGGCCCGTCCCTCACAAGGTTCTGCAGTGTGACCTCAGGGCTGGGTGCAGGGTGTGCGGAAATTCTGTTTCTCTCACATGCCTGAACCAGCCTGTTTCCTATTGGTTATTTTCAGCACATATTTATTTGTTTGCTTTGCTTTGGTTTTTGCTTGGGTCCTCACCTGGTGATGCTCAGGGATTACTCTTGGGGGTCCTCAGGGGTCCATATTTGACTCTTTGATGCCAGGGAAGCACCTTCGCACTGAACTACCTATCTGGCCCCCCAGAGTTTTTCTTTTTCAAATGTTGTCTTTTTCTGAAAGGTGGATTTTTGTTTGCAAATATGATTTTATATGTTTTGTTTACTATCTTTATGACAGGGAGCACTTCTGAAAAAATTCTCTTTAAAAGTGTCAGCTTGGCTCTTAGGGGTTCCTGGGCCAGAACTCTGGCTCTTTCTTCTGTAGGGTGAGATTTCGCCATGCTTAGTCCCTTAAGAGAATCTGTAGACCCAAAAGCATTGATTTATGTGAGTTTTCAACTGTTGGAGTGCACGGAGCTTAGGTTTATCAGGTTGCACCCATCACAGTGCTCCGAGTCACTCCCATTACTTTGTCTGTCTGTAACCACTTCTATGCTCTCTTCCCCAACCAATTTGTAAGGTCTCATCCTTCTTAGACACTGAAGCTGTACTGTAAGTTAATATTGCCTTTCTCCTCCCTTATGTCTTTTGAGCAGTTTACTTTAATGCAGTGTCCTTTTGTATAGATACAGGAAGACAATTAATTCATATTATGCTTTATAACTTAGAATTTAATTGGCTTTGGATATTATTCACTCCCGGGCATCTGCTTTCTCAACTTAAGCCTCAGTTGCCCTCACTTCCTAGTACCCCAAGGGCAGGGTCCCGATGAGGGACTAGATGGAACCAGGGCAAGCCGGTAAGTTATGTGCTACCCTGGCATCGCGATGGGCCAGGCCAAGGTGCCACAATTCTTGACTATAAGTTAAGAGTTTGATCATAGGCAAATGCTGTCATGATCCAAAAGTAACGATGAGACTAGGACCCTGCTGCTAGGAATAGGAAAGATATCTGGCCTGAGCACTGCAGTCTGAGATTGAGATGGCCCTAGGAGAGCAATTCTATAAGCTCAAAGTATTTCTTATTGTGTCCATACAAAATGATTAATATTATGTATGCTTATATGTTGGTTGGACGAGGAGAGGAGAAACATGTCCTAGAAGCAGTTTCCCTGTGTGTCCTGACTAGCTTGGATGAGACTGAACTTTCTCCCCTTCAAACTGCCTTCAGTAAATGATTTCAGTATATTGAGGCAGTTTCCCTTATTCACATGAACCTAGCAGGCCTTAGGTATGCAGATCCCAGGTGCTTAGCCAGGCCTGATCTTTGGGATGTAGATGCCTGGCTCCAGGCAGGCTGATGTAGATTCCAAGCTCTAGGGACTGGTCTTTGTTGTGCTAATCCAAGTGCTTGTAGCTTGTAAAAGGTGAGGCCAGGATTCAATGTGGATGTAAAGAAACAATGTATGGTTTGCTGCCTCAATGTTCTTTCTGTAACTCCTTTTGATGACATCACTATATTGCGCCCTTTAGAGGTACTGTGATCTATGTAAGGGAGATTTAAGGGCTCTCTGGGGGGACATGTGCATCAGAGAACCTGGGAAGATGGGGCTGAGGACCTAAGCTGAGAGAACAAAGGAGCACATGCTTGAGAGATCCTGGGGCCTCCATGACATACATCTCTTCCCTGTAATAAACTGCTGCTAAGACCAACCAGCCTGGTCCCCATTTCCTTCCTTCACCTGACCAACGCCATCCACCTCCCTGGAGTGGGGAAACGGCCTGAGACCACCGAACGCGGGCGGCGGGAGAGATAGACCGCCGGCCCTTTAATTTTTTGTGTGTTTACACATTCAACCAGATGTTTTTCCTATGACATATTATTCACTGTAAATAGGGGAAATTGGGCATGGGTGGAGTTCTGGAAGCCCGAGTGAGACCCCCCGCCCCCAAGTGGGTAACCACCACCTAGAGTGTGCGACCCTCAGCCTCAGCGAGAAAGGGAGGGAAAGGGAAAATAAGTACCGGAATGAAGGGGAAGATGCAAGGGGGAAACACATCAGCTTGATAATGTCCTCTAAAAATGGTGTACAAGGGCCAGAGAGATAGTAAGGTGGGTAGGGCACTTGCCTTGCCCCTGGCAGACCCGGGTTCGTTCCCTGGAACCCCATATGGTCCTCCAAGCCTCGCCTGGTGTGACCCCAGTGCTGAGCCAGGGAGTCAGCCTGAACCCGTGCCCAGCCCCAATGCTCCCGGCGCTGCTCAGAGAGGCGGGACTGAGTAAAAATGTGTGTATGTAGTCTCCGTGGGTTTAGCGCTGGGCCCTCGCAAACGGCCCTGGGGGCTGAACGGCCCTGTGAATTCCACTGAGAAGAGTAGAACTGGGCTGATAATGCAAAGGTTCACCCCAGTCCCAGTTACAACCGAGCAAAACATGCAGGGTAGACATGTGTTGTTAACGTGTGTGTGTGTGTGTGTGTGTGTGTGTGAGTGACACATCTGGCGATGCTCAGAGGGTACTCCTGGCAGTCTAGTAGCCTGGCATTGGTCACTATCGCTCTGGCCTCTGTTGTTAGCACTGTAGCACTGTCCTCCCATTGTTCGTCGATTTGCTGGAACGGGCACCAGTGACGTCTCTATTCTGAGACTTGTTGTTACTGTTTTTGGCACATCGAATACACCACAGGGAGCTTGCCAGGCTCTGCTGTGTGGGCAGGATACTCTTGGTAGCTTGCCGAACTCTCCGAGAAGGACGGAGGAATCTCACCCGAGTAGGCCATGTGCAAGGCAAACGCCCTACCTGCTGTGCTATCGGCCCCTGTGGTTAACTTTAAAAAATATTTTTTAATACGGAATTATGGGTGGTAGGGAGATAGCTTAGAGGGCTAGAGCCCCAGCATCACCTGGGGAGCCCCGGGTTCAGAACAGGAGGGACCCACACACCACCCTAGGGGCTTTTAAAGGGGAATTACAAGGGCTGGAGCAATATGCATTGGGAGAGCATTTGCCTTGCACGCAGCTGACCCAGGTTCAATCCCCGGCATCCCATATGGTCCCCAAAGCACCACCAGAATAATTCCTGAGTGCAGAGCCTATCCCTTGAGCCTCGCCGGGTGGGAGTTGTTAGAGGTGTCTCTGTAGTAATACGCCGTTTTTAAACATGAATGTTTTGTTTGGGTGCTCGGGGCTGGGCAGGGCCGGGCAGGAGCCATCTTAGCTGTCCGCAGGCAGACACAGTTCCAGCTCTGAACAGTCACCTGGGCCCCTGAGCAGTTCGAAAGATGCCCCCTAATGCTTTCCTTCCCCTGAATCTTCCTCTCTGCTCTGCTCCAGTGCGGAATTTCTGGTCCTTTTCTGAGGACTCTTTGGACATCCCGACCAGGATGTTTTGGACTGAAGTGTGAGGCTACACCCCAGACTTGGCAGAGACATCCTATGGGACCTTTGGGGATACTGTGCTCATTCTGAGCCGGGCTCCCTGGGAGGTCTCCCTAGGAACCCCGCCCCCAGTCTGCACCCCTTGTCCTCACGCCTTTGGGTTGCACGCCTGTTGGCCGCTGCCTTAGACAGGGTCAAAGATTCCACGATGAGGGGCGGGAGCAAGAACACAGCGGGTAGCGCGTTTGCCTTGCATGAGGCCGACCCGGATTCGATTCCCAGCATCCCATACGGTCCCCCGAGCACCACTAGGAGTAGTTCCTGAGTGCATGAGCCAGGAGTAACCCCTGTGCATTGCCGGGTGTGACCCAAAAAGAAAAAAAATAGAGTCCCGCGATGGGCACCAGCAGTGCCTCCGCATCAGGTGGAGTGCAGGTGAAGCACGTTGCGTGGTTTCCCTCCTCTGCTCTCTGCACTTACTGGATGAAGGGATTGAGGCGCAGGAGTGATCTTGAGGCCCCGCTGGGGGCCGTGTGTGCTCTGTCAGCCCTGCTGAACCGCCCGGCTGGGGGCGCGTGCGTCCTCTTCCCTCTTTCTGGGCCAAAGATGTTTCTTTTTGTCTGTGTGTTAAATGGACCTTGTGGCCCTTCTCCGAGACCGTGGCTGCCCTGCTCCTGTCCCCTGTGACACTCGCTGCTGTATGTGGGAGAGGCTGCCTGCCCTTCTGCAAGCCCAGAGTGTCCTGCTGTGGGGTCACGCGGGCATGCAGAGGCCAGCCTTTCCTCGCCCGCCCAGCGATGCTCACCCCCAGTAGAGGCGCTGCCTTGGGGCCTCAGTGCTGACTCGCAGAGCCTGTGCCCAGGCGCCCGGCCCTCTCCCACAGGAGTGCTACCTGGACAGCGACCAGACGAGCCTGTACCACGCGGCCAAGGACCTGATGACGCTGCAGGCCCTGTACGGGACCATCCCCCAGATCTTCGGCAAGGGCGAGTGCGCCAGGGTGAGCCGGGGCGGGGAGGGGGGCCTCTCTCCTGTGGGTGGAGATTGGGGCTCCACCTCGCAGTGCTCTTGGCTCTGTGCTAGGGCCACCAAACTGAGGCTGTCTGCGTGCAAGGCGTGACCCCTGGCCCCTCTGCTGTCTCCCAGCCCTCTTTCCTTTTCTCTTTTCTGTTCTTTATCTTTTCTTTTCCATCCCTCCCTCTCTCGCCCTCTCCCTCCTCCCACCCTCTCCATACCCAGCAGTGCTCGGGGCTCACTCCTGGCAGGGTTTGAGGGATCGTATGTGGTGCCAGGAATTGAACCTGGGTCAGCCACCTGCAAGGCAAGCATCCTACCCACCATACCGTCTCAGGCCTATCTTGTTTTATTTTATTGTTCGATTTTTTTCCGTCTTATTTTTAAATTTTGGATTGCCGGACTCTTTTTTAGCTTCATTTTAAAATCCGCCCATTGCTAAAAAGGCTCTGCCTGGTTCTGTACTTTGTTTCCAGCAAGTGGCCAATATGATGATCAGGATGAAGAGAGAGTTTGCAGGAAGCCAGAATTCCATATTTCCTGTTTTTGATAACCTCTTGTTGCTTGATCGAAATGTGGATTTATTAACGCCCCTTTCGACTCAGCTGACATACGAGGGACTCATCGATGAAATTTATGGCATCCAGAACAGTAAGTGAAGTGACATCAGTTACTAATAGGTTAGCTGAGTAAAATCAATCTCAAAAGTGTCTGTTTTCGAAGGTGCGGCCTTTGTGTGTAAGTCAGAATACTTGAAAATGTCAGGCACTGACTTTCAGCCCAAGGTTAAAGCGAGCTCGAGCCAGGTCACCATCGGGGAAACCGAGGTGAAGGCCTTGTGCAGAGGGCCATGCGGTGTGCAGCCCCGTTGCTCGGGCCGCCCAGGGAGGCGTGAGGAATAGAGCGTTTCTGAGGGGTGCCTGGGTCCAAGGTCACGGAGGTTTGGCCCCGGATGTTAGATTCTGTAGCATTTCAGATCTGAGTGGGGACTAGGAAAGCTCACAGGGCTAGTGCCAGGCACACAGCCAGCGCTCAGTTCCATCCACACTCCTGCCTCGTCCAGTGAGCACTGAGCCGGGAGTAGCTCCTGCTGGGATACAGTCTGAGAAGTTTCCCACAGTCTGATTTGTGTCTTTTCTTCAGAACAGGGAGCCCTAGGCCTCAAGAGGGGTAATTCCGGCGCCTTCAGGAGTGGCCCTGGTTGTGGGCTGGGGAAACAGCCCTGGGGATGGAGCCCCGGTCTGGAAGGACGGGGATGCAGCTAACTGCATGGGGTCTCTCTGGGGACACAGAGCCCTGCAGCCGCTGAGTGCTGGTCGAGTCCAGACAGTGCTGTCTGTCCAGTGTGCCAAGCTTGTTATTGCAGAGTGGATTGCGATGGCTTGTGTGTGTGTGTGTGTGTTTCTGCAGTGGTGAATGTGTGGCTCAGTGACGGCGGCCACGGAAGCAGAGCAGGACCACATGTGGAGGCATTTCCACACAACAACCCGTTTTCCTGCTCTTTAATGATTATGAAGGTGTTTCCGGTTTGTTTTTTACCAGTTGTTCCGAAGGATAACCTCTTAAGTTGTTTCCTTTTGTGGGGACAGTCGTAAGCAGTGCCCAAGGGGCCGTGGGGCTGATCTCGGTGATTTTCTGCTCTGTGGGGCCAGTCTGTGGCCCTGGAGCCACCAGGGCTGTGCCTGGTAGCAGCTGGGGGTGATGCCACACACACAGCCCCTCCCCAGACTCCTGCTCCGAGCTGTCCTGGCACGGGAGCACCCTGTGCGAGGGGTCCCCACCTCCTGGTGCTTCTGCAAGTCTCTCGGGGGATCTGGCAGAGGTGCTGGGGTTGGGGGTGCGGAGGTGTGAGAGATGGGACTCGTGGGGTGCCTCCGGGAGGAAGGAGTTTCGGGAACTCACAGTCTCTTCATATCACACACTTCCTGCTGATCAAACATTTAATTAAGGGAGAGGGCTGGAGTGATAGCAGAGCGGGTAGGGCATTTGCCTTGCACGCGGCTCAGCCCGGGTTCGATTCCCAGCATCCCATATGGTCCCCTGAGCACCGCCAGGAGTAATTCCTGAGTGCAGAGCCAGGAGTAATTCCAATGCATCGCTGGGTGTAACCCCCCCCAAAAGAAACCGTTAAGAGAAATCTGAAAAACAAGGGGAAATTGGGCTTCCCCATAGCCCCCCAGCTCTGCGCCCGTGGCTGGACCGAGGGCGATGGCAGGCCCGTGCAGGAGCTGCGTGCAGGCTGCCTGGGCCAGCGGCTGCCCCTCTGCTTTGAGCTGGAATGCGAGGTCTTGCCGACCTCGTGTATCTCAGCATGTGCTCAGGCCCCGGGTCCCGTGGCGTGCTGTCTCCAGACGCTGGCGCCCGGGCTGTTCGGAGGGACTTAGGATTTGGAAAGCATCCGAGAAATATTTTCCTTCCGTCGGTCACTTTCTCTCCCCACATTCTCCGATGCAGGAGTTCTTGTTGCTTTATGATTCTCAGCTCCACCCCACAGTTCTCAGGGCCCACACGGGGCAGTGCTCAGAGGAACAGACAGCTGGACTTGAGCGTGTGCTGCCCCCGATGACCCGTCTCTCTGGACCCACAGCAGTGGAGCTGATTGTATGTAGACACGTCGGGATTTGTGTTGAAACTGGAGATGTTTTTTTGAAAGGAACCAATTTGGAGCTAGAGGCAGAACAGCAGTTAGGGTGAGTTTGGTCCCCAGGACCGCATATGGTTCCCCCAGTCACTGCCAAGAATAAGCCCAGAGCACAGAGCCAGGAATAAGCCTTGAGCACTGACAGGTGTGGCCCAAATATCAGAGAAAGGAAAAAGAAAGGAAAGAAGCCTTCGGAGCTGTCTCCGCCCTCATGCACACTTCCATGCTGAGGTGATTCCTGGGATCTTGTTTTTCTTTTTCTTTTTTGGAGAGTATCTTGCCCACACGGCAAAGCCTGGCAAGCTACCCGTGACGTGTTCGATATGCCAAACACAGTAACAAGTCTCAAAATGGAGACGTTACTGGGCCCGCTTGAGCAAAATCGATGAACAATGGGAGGACAGTGACAGGGGTCACACTTGGCAATGCACAGGGGTTACTCCTGGCGCTGCACTCAGGAGTTACTTCTGGCGGTGCTCAGGGGGCCATATGGGATGCTGGGAATCGAACCAGGGTCTGCCCAGTGCAAGGCAAACACCCTCCCTGCTGTGCTATCACTCCAGCCCCATCCTGGGCTCCTCTTGGCTTGTTGAGATGTCGGTGTAGACTGCATGCACTTGCACGCGCCAGCAGGACAGACAGTGGGCCGCCCGGGGGCATGTTTCCTCGGGTGGCCCCATCCTGAGTTCGGTTCGGGCTGGCAGTGGCAGAAGGCGGCCCACGGGCCAGGCCAGGGAAGCCGTGCGTGAAAAGTGTGAGCGTCCTCTGCTCGTGCACAGCTAGTGACTCAAAGCCCAGTGCTCTCCCCTGACAGGAAGTCTCTGGAGTCTCACTTGGGGTGTCCCCTCCCGTGCAGGTCATGTAAAGTTGCCGCCCGAGAAATTCGCCCCGAAGAGGCAGGGTGACGGGCAGGACCTGCCCACAGAGGCCAAGAAGCTGCCGCTGAACTCAGCCGAGGAGCTCCACGCCGAGATCCGAGACTGCAACTTCAACGCCGTGGGCGCCGTGCTCAGCAAGAAGGCCAAGGTCATCTCGGCCGCCTTTGAGGTGACTGGGGCCTGGGGCCAGGCGGCAGGCGGGCTGCGGGCGCCTGGGGAAAGGTGGTGCCAGGCCCTCTCCTGGTGTCAGGTCCTTTGCCAGTCACCGTCCGCACTCCCTGTCCCTCTCTCCTTCCTCCCAGCCGCTGGCGGTGGCGGCATCTCCGCTAGCTCCTGCATCTAGGGAATCCGGGATCAGCCCGAGCAGGCGGGGACGGCGGGTGATACTGAGAGCACAGTCCCCGGCCCCCAGCTTCCTTAGCGCCTCGCGCCCTCCTGCTGCTCTTTATTCTGGGTTCAGGTCACTTTTGAAACCTGAATCAGTAAAATGATAGAAGCTGAATTTTTTAACTCTGGGGAAGTTTTTAAAAATCACTTTTTCCCTTGAAGGATGGATTTCCTGATTTCATCTTTTTTAGGAGTTATCTCCACTATATCAGTATTTGTATTTCTTTGGATTTTGTTTTTGAGGGGAGGCACACCCAGAGGTGCTCAGGGCTAAATCCTGGCTCTGCGCTCAGGGATCACTTCTGGTGGGCTGAGGCAACCCCATGGGATGCTGGGGATCGAACCCAGGCTGGCCGCATGCAAGGCGAGCACCTCGCCACTGTTCTGTCACTCTGACCCCATGGTTGTTGTATTTCTGAAGCTGCTTTTGTCTCACTTGGGTTTTGTTCCTCAATTTTTTATTTCCTCATCGTGACTTATAAAGCTATGGATAAGAAGTGTCGGGCATTCACTGTGCCAGCTCCGAGCTCGCCGTGGTGTCCAGTTCCCTCCCTTCCCGCTGCCAGTGCTCAGGGCTGGCTCCTGGCAGGCCTCGGGGTTCTGTGGGGAGGCCGGGGACTGAGCAAGCGCCTCCCCCACTGTATAGCTTGGACCCAGGAAACGTTTTACACTTGATTTGCTGTTGTTGAGGTCTCAGGCTATACGAGCGTTAGCTTTTGTGGCTTCAAGGCAGTTTGCTGAGCTCCACATCCCTGGCAGGGACCATGCAGTGTCAGGTGTGGCCTGCGTGGCCCCTGGGATCCCTCCCTGTCCACATGGTCTCCCAGTGCTGCAGGAAGTGGCTGTCGGAGTCCCTGGACCCACCAACCTGCCTTTTCTATTTTCGTGTGGCTGTGGGATCTGGTTATAGCCGAATTCGTTTTGTGTCCGTTTCTCACACTAAAAATTAATTTGGGGGTGCCGGAGGGATAGCACAACGGGCCAGGCGCTTACCTTGCATGCAGCTGACCTGGGTTCACTCCCCAGCATTCCATGTGGTCCCGGTGCAGGCCAGGAGTGATCCTTGAGCTCCAGGCCAGAAGGAAGCCCGGGGCACTGCCTTGCACGTGATTCAAACATGCCCTGGGAAACCCAAAGACCCAAACTCTTAAAAATGCACTCTTGGCAGCCAGGGCTGGGGCTGAGGCACAGTGTGTGTGTGTGTGTGTGTGTGTGTGTGTGTGTGTGTGTGTGGCCTTGGGTACCTTCCCAGCACTGCTGTGGCTGTGACTGGGGCACGCCCTGTGTGTGTGTGTGTGTGTGTGTGTGTGTGTGTGTGTGTGTGTGTGGCCCTGAGTGCTGTCCCCAGTACTGTCGTGACCTTCTCCCCTCCCTCAGGAAAGGCACAACGCCAAGACGGTGGGCGAGATCAAGCAGTTCGTCTCCCAGCTACCCCACATGCAGGCGGCGCGGGGCTCCCTGGCCAACCACACCTCCATCGCCGAGCGCATCCAGGACGTGACAAGTGAGTGCCCTGTCCCGGGCTCAGGCTCAGGGTGTGTCACTGGCTCCCTGCTACTTCTGGGGGCCCCGGCTACTATTTCACTTGTGCTTTGTTCCCTGTGCTAGCCGCTGTGTCCTCGCAGAAATGTTCCGAGTGTGACTGTTGGGTTCTGCGGGGTCAGGTGGTGCAGCAGGGCTCTCCCAGGCTCCGGGTGGCGCCAGCACTGCTTCGCCAGACCTGGCACTGATTGCTGAGGTTGGTTTCAGTCGGATGTTGCAAGGAGCTGGAGTTGGAGCGGTACTGCAGTGCCTGGCACACAACCGGCCCGGGTTGGGTCCCAGAGTCCCATATGGTCTCCGAAGCCTGCCAGGAGTGATCCCTGAGCACCACCGGGGGTGGCCCCCAAACGAACCAAAGTAAAATGCCCTTGGGAAATTGAAGGGGGAGCTGCTAGGGCCCAGGCCCCGGGGCTCTGTGTCTAGGCGCACCTTGGGGCACAGGCCGTCAGCCTCACTGTTCTGGAAGGTGCCTTCCCGGTGATGACTTAAACTTGGTGCTTGCTTGCTACTTTGCATGCCTCCGGGAGAAATGAGCATTTCTCCCACTTCTGAGATGCTCGTGTGTGAATTATGTTTCAGCGTCTGAAGACTTCTTTGATCAGTTAACCGGGGAGCAGGAGTTGATGTCTGGAATAGACACTGATCAGGTACGTGAACACTAAAACCGTTTTAGCCGATAGTTAACCAGATTGGCAAACAGAACTCGAGGTAGGAAAGGAATCGCTTTGATTCCCGTGTCTGGCCTAAATACCTGTCAGGGCAGTGCAAAATGTGCGGAAAGAGATTCTGCCAAGAGATAGGTTTCTGTTGACCGGGGGTGGTGTGTGTGTGTGTGTGTTCCATTGTGTGTGTGTTCGTGCATGTGTGTGTGTGTGTGTGTGTGTTCCATTGCGTGTGTGTGTGTGCATGTGTTCCATTGCTGTTTGCTGTCCTCAGAGAAACAAGACCCAGCCCTGAAGCCCAAGACTATTGAAGCCCATCACGGATAATTTAAGAGCGTGCGTTGTATGATCCCTTTTCCTGTCTGCCTGTCAATAAATCCCGCATTCTCACTTGCAGCAAGCAAGCGCCCAAATTCCCCACAGTCCCTGCTACTTTACTGATGCTGCTCAGGTGTGGCTGACAAGTGGGACAGTTGCACCCGCCCGCAGCCCCTGGAGCTTAGGTTGTCCAGGGAGTGTGGGCAGGAGCGTGAGCCAATCTCCAGCCTCTCCTTGATCGGGCCTCTGAGGGGCCCGGGAACGCCCAGGCCTGCAGGCCCAGACCCGGCGCTCACGCACAAACCTGCCATGACTCTAGGTCAACAGTTATATCGAGGACTGCATCGCCCAGAAGCATCCACTCATCAAGGTGCTCAGGCTCATTTGCCTGCAGTCGGTGTGCAACAGTGGGCTCAAGCAGAAGGTTCTGGATTATTACAAAAAAGAGAAATTCTCCAGGTCAGTGTTTCTAAGTGACTCATTTGCCAAGGGCGAAATTTTTTAAAAAGGCAGTTGGCCTTGCACGTGGCCCACCTAGGCTCGATCCCCGGCACCCATATGGGTCCCCTGAGCCCCACCAGCACTGACCCCTGAGCACAGGAAGTGGGGGGCAAAAGCAAACAAAACAAAGGAGACATCTGGAAAATAGCACGTCAGGAGGTGTGTTTGGCCTCCTTTTCCTACTCAGTTATTTCAGTACACTGTCATCTATCTTCCTTACCTTGGGCCCATGCATTCTGGCTTTAAAGTGAAAATGTGGGGTCCAAAGAGCTCGAAAGGGGCTACAGCAATAGCACAGCGGGTAGGGCGTTTGCCTTGCACGCAGCCGACCCTGGTTCGATTCCCAGCATCCCATATGGTTTCCCGAGCACCGCCAGGAGTGATTCCTGAGCGCAGAGCCAGGAGTAACCCCTGAGCTTCGCCGGGTGTGACCTGAAAAGAAAAAAAAACAAAAAACAAACCAAGAGCTAGAAAGGGGTAAGGCACTTGTCTTGCATGCTGCCGGGTATGACTCAAGAACAAAAGTATCAGAATGAGAGTGAAAATGTTCGCTCCCTCTTCGGAAGTGGGAGATCTAGCAGGCTCCCCAACTTCTCTTGCAGACATACGGCTACGAGCACATCCTGACGTTACAGAACCTGGAGAAGGCCAGGCTGCTGCGGCCCCAGCAGGGGGACAGGAACAGCTACCCCACCTTCCGGAAGACCCTGCGCCTCTGGATGGACGATGTGAATGAGCAGGTGAGCCGAGTCTTCGAGCACACGCAGTCACATGCACACCATCTAATAGGCGAGCCGAGCCTTCACGCACATGCACGCGCGCCAGCACACACACAGACACGTACATAGACATACACACACATTTCCCCAGTGGTGTGGCGTCCTGCTGGTGGGAAGGCGCTGCCCTTGCAGAAGCCAGGACTGAGTGGGGCTTGTTGGGGGACACTTTTTGAAGATGGGGGCTGGGGGTGGGAAGCGGGGGCCCTTGTCCACTTAGGCCTCAGGGAGGGGGAGGCTGGTCTGGACTCAAGGAAGCCTCTGGTCAGCGAAAAGGCCAGCCTCAAGTAAGAGGATTGGGGACCAACACAACTGACTCACCGTGGGCAGTTGGGGCTGCTGGACTCAGAGTCACTGTGAGAGAGGGGAGTTTCAGACTGGGGGTCACTGTGATGCTGGGTGCTGTCACTCTCACTCTTGGGAGATTTGGGCGTGGCTGTGCCCTGGGGCCTCGCCCCCGGAAGAATGCCTGAGAGTAGCTTGGCTGGGCTTAGAGCTCTCCACATTCCGTCCCCCCAGTTGGCCAAGTTTCCATAGGAGAAGTTTCTCACCAAATCGATGAACAGTTTTTCTTCTGTGGGGGTCAGATGGAATCTTTCCTGGGCAGACCGTTGAATGTTCAGACCCAGCGGTGCTGGGGTTTGGCCACACCCCTGCCCTCTGCACGGGCTGCCGGGCACTGGCACCTTCCAGCACACAGGGGCACCAAGCAGCTTTCTGAGATTGGTTTGAGACAGAAGGACTCAGGGCCAGGAGAGGTGAGGGCAGAGCCATGCGTCAGCTCTGCACCACGAGGTCTGATGCATAAAGCTGTAGGGGTGGGGGTGGGGGGGAGAGAGAGAAGGAGAGAAGAGAGAGATTGGGAATTGGGTAGAGGGTGGAGATGGCAGGGCTCAGCGGGCTAGGCTGGAGCACACTGTGTTCCTCCCCAAAGTCAAATTCAGGACGGCAGCGTGGAGGACATTTGCCTTTAATGCGGCCAACCCACGTTGTGATCCCTGAGTGCAGCACCAGGAGGGAGCCCTGAGCACCGCAGGGTATGGCCTACGCCAAAAAAAAAAAAAGAAAAATCCCATGGCCCATTAGGCAGTGAGGAGTTGGTTGACTCCAGGTGTCCCTCTCGAACCCTCCGCAGAACCCCACGGACATCTCGGCTATGCCCCCCTCAGCATGCGGCTGGCCCAGCTGCTCTCCCGGCCTGGTTGGCGCAGAATCGAGGAAGTTCTGCGCATTCTCCCGGGCCCCCACTTCGAGGAGCGCAGCCGCTGCCCACGGGCCTGCAGAAGAAACATAGGTTTGTGAGGGATTTTATTTTCATGACCTGCCTTTCCCCTTGATTGAGTCTTGGCAAGACCTGAAGCCTCTAATCTTACATTCTCATTTTCTAGAAATACAATTGCCTACATTTTTCATTCAAACTCTTGAGGTTCTGCAGTGTGACCTCAGGGCTGGGTGCAGGGTGTGCGGGAAATTCTGTTTCTCCCACACGCCCGTCCCAGCCTGTTTCCTACTAGTTATTTTCAGCACATATTTATTTGTTTGCTTTGCTTTGGTTTTTGCTTCGGGCCTCACCTGGTGATGCTCAGGAATTACTCTAGGGGGTTCTCAGGGGTCCATATTTGACTCTTTGATGCCAGGGAAGCACCTTTGCACTGAACTATATATATGGCCCCCCGGAGTTTTTCTTTTTTAAATGTTGTCTTTTTCAGAAAGATGGATTTTTGTTTGCAAATATGATTTTATATGTTTTGTTTACTATCTTTATGACAGGGAGCACTTCTGAAATATTTCTCTTTCAAAGTGTCAGCTTGGCTCTTAGGGGCGCCCGGGCCAGAACTCTGGCTCTTTCTTCTGTGCGGTGAGGTTTCTCCATGCTTAGTCCCTTAAGACAATCTGTAGACCCAAAAGCATTGATTTATGTGAGATTTCAACCAGATGCTTTTCCTATGACGTGTTCTTCGCTGTAAATAGGGAAAATTGGGCATGGCTGGAGTTCTGGCAGGCCGAGTGAGAACCCCCCCCCCCCGCCCCCAAGTGGGTAACCACCACCTAGAGTGTGCGACCCTCAGCCTCAGCGAGAAAGGGAGGGAAAGGGAAAATAAATACCGAAATGAAGGGGAAGATGCAAGGGGGAAACACATCAGCTTGATAATGTCCTCTAAAAACGGCATACCAGGGCCAGAGAGATAGTAAGGTGGGTAGGGCACTTGCCTTGCCCCTGGCAGACCCGGGTTCGTTCCCTGGCACTCCATATGGTCCTCCAAGCCCTGCCTGGTGTGACCCCCAGTGCCAAGCCAGGGAGTCAACTTGAACCCGTGCACGGCCCCAGCGCCCCCGGTGCCTGCCTGCGCCCTCTGCGCCCTCTGCCATTGGAAGCTTGTGCAGGTGTGTTTGAGACGCGATCGCATTTCCCTGCGTTCTTGGCCATGTGAGTTGATTTGTGGTACTGGTACTGCTGGTCTCAGGACTTGACCTTTCAGAACGCAGGTGCATCACCAGATTTCCGGGCCCCCTTTCCCCTCAGCATGTTGGTCTCAGCAGCACCTTAAGAGAAAGAACCTGGGGCTCGCTTGTGTTCTGGGCTGCTGTCACCCAGCTACCCATGGGTTTGCTCACGTCCCTGGGCTTCGGCCTGTGGAATCCAGAACTTTCCTGGGATCCCCCGATGGTCTCTCCCCACCCCAGTCTTGGAGCAGGGAAGGGCTTGCATGCCCTTGTGTGGTGACAGGACAGGGGCCTGCCCGGCCCTGTGTGGTGACAGGACACGGAGTTCACCTTCCATGCGATTCATTGCATGTCTGGGAGAGGCCTCTCTGCTCCTTCTGTTCCCAGTCAGCAGTGCGGAAGCGTTGAGGAAGCGGCTTGGTCACCCCAGCTGAGGGTAGGGGCTGTCTCGGTCACACCCAGGGTCGCTCCTGGCCCTGCGCAGGCGGGGTGGGGCCATCCCAACAGGCAGACCCGAGACAGGTCGGAACCAAGGGCCCCACATCCCCCCGTGGATGCTGCATTCACATCTTCTCTCCCGCCCTGAGCCACGATGGCCCCCGAGCCCGCATCCCGGTGGGGGAAGCCATGGCTCTGCTCACCTGAGCTGCTCGCAGTGGCCCTCACTCCGGGTATTCTGCTCAAGGGACCCCAGAACATGGGCACCCTGGCGTGTGTCATGTGAGCAGTCAGATTGGGCTCAAGGCGCTGGGGGGCTCGCCCCACCTGGTGGAGTTTGCCAAGGGCCCAGGCGCCCTCACCAAGGTCCGTCTCTGAGGCTTCCTCGTGTGAATATGAGGGACCTTCCAGCCCTCACAGAACAGAGTCTGCTGCTCGTGTCCGATCCCCCCCCACACACACACACACTCGGAGCCCTAGGGGCTTTTAAAGAGGAATTACAAGGGCTGGAGCAATATACATTGGGAGGGCATTTGCCTTGCACGAGGCTGACCCAGGTTCAATCCCCGGCATCCCATGTGGTCCCCAAACCACCACCAGAATAATTCCTGAGTGCAGAGCCTATCCCTTGAGCCTCGCCGGGTGGGAGTTGTTAGAGGTGTCTCTGTAGTAATACACCGTTTTTAAACATGAATGTTTTGTTTGGGTGCTCGGGGCTGGGCAGGGCCGGGCAGGAGCCGGCTTAGCTGTCCGCAGGCAGACACAGTTCCCGCTCTGAACAGTCACCTGGGCCCCTGAGCAGTTCGAAAGAGGCCCCCTAATGCTTTCCTTCCCCTGCATCATCCTCTGTGGTCTGCTCCAATGCAGAGTATTCCGTTCTTTTCTGAGGGCTCTTTGGAATCCTGACCAGGGTGGCTTAGACTCAAGTGTGAGGCTGCACCCCAGACCTGGCGGAGCCATCCTACGGGGTCTTTGGGGATGTTATGCTCACTCTGGGCCAGGCTCTCTGGGAGGTCTCCCTCTGCACCCCGCCCCCAGTCTGCACACCTCCACAGTGTTATCTTTTTATTGTTAATTTTTTCACCCGGAGAGGCACGGGGCTTACTCCTGGCTGTGCACTCAGGAGTTACTCCTGGCGGTGCTCAGGGGACCATATGGGATGCCGGAATTTGAACCCAGGTTGGCTGCATGCAAGGCAAATGCCCTCCCCGCTGTACTATCGTTCCAGCCCCGACACTAGAAGCTTTGACCTGGGGATCCTTGTTCCTTCAGCTCTTTTGCATGGAAGGGCGGGTGTGAGTCAGAACTGAGCGGCTGTGAGCGTTGGGGGGATTCCATGGCATGTGGGGTGTCCGTGAGTTTTCCGAGGCATGTGGGGTGTCCCCTGGCGGGTTCTGCAGGGCAGCTGGGAGACCGGCCTCACCTCCAGTCACCTTCTCTCAGTCCTGTTTGCCGGCTTGCTCTTCGAGCTCTTGCTAACTCTGATTTTTCCCCCTGACACATAAAAATTTCCTCTATCTGGATATTTTGAAGTTGAATGCCAGCATGAGACGGGTGACAGGGCTTGCTGATGACAGTGAATAGATGCCATTTGCATATGTCCTGTGCCTTCAGGCTGTATATAGTCTTGAACTGTGTCTGCAGCTCCTGAAATTTTGTTTGGAACGGAAGACTGATTTTTATGTAACTTCCTGATAGAATGTCGTGAGGTGCTGCCCGAGGGGTAAGGGGTCCTCGGAGCCCTAAGGGGGGAAAATGACCCAAATTGAGGTGCTTCCTGTGTGCCAATGTCCCATCACGCCACACCTCCCAGGGCTGGTGTTTCCCTGTCCAGAAGACGCTGGACAGACGTGAGCCAAAGCTCTAGCAGAGAGGAAGCATTTGTGCTGCGGGATGAAACAGAACTGCCTTCGGAACCCCCAGCTTTGAGTCAAGCTGACATTTTCAAGAAATACAAAACAGACTTTTTTTTCCCCATTTTTAGTACCAGAGCAGATAATCCCCTAAGGTTATTTGCTTCCCTGCGAGATATTTAGCTTACCCTTTCAAGGTTCATTTAGAGCAGATCTTGGCGTTAAATCAGAGTTGGGTGCTAACCGAGTTCAGAGTGTTTGCTTATTTGTGGCCTTCTTTGTCTCTTAAGAGGAACAACCGTAGTTACAGGCCTCCAGAGAAAACAAAACACAAGCACCCGCTTCCTCCAGGCCTGGTTCCTCTGTTCTCAACCCCTGGCCATTTTTCTATGCATCGTCCCCAGATCAGGCAGGGGACAGAGGCAGAGAGGGTCTGAGCAGCCCCTGAATGGTGCTCCCTGAGCAGTGCTCCCCATCTTTGTGGCTTCTGTTGAGGTTCTGAAGTGAGTCATCAGGTTCTAGTGACAAATGTCTCATGTACGGCGTGACACAAAGATGGAGTTTGTGCCATCAGTCCCCGGGGTGGGAGGAGGGAGCGTCAGGTTTTGGGGGTCAGTGGCAGGAGGATATGACCCATAGTATGTCAGCTTTATCTCAGTTGGGGGAAAAACAGATCATTTGTGGAGGAGTGTGCTTGGGGTACAGATTGGCGGCGTTTTTCTGGATTTCTCTGTCTCCCTCTTTTTTTTTTTTATTTAGGAGTACTGCTATTTATCCAGCCACTGATTAGCTGATTGAATTCTGCATGAACTCCACCTTACTTTTTTTTTATTTTTTATGATTTTATTTATTGAATCACCGTGAGAGCAGTTACAAAGCTTTCAGGTCTAAGTCTTGGTCATACAATGAAACACCCGTACCTTCACCAGTGCCCATTTTCCACCACCAACAACCCCAGTATATCCCCATCCCACACCCTCCCCCTATGTGTGGGGCAGATGATTTCCAAATTATTTTCTCTCGACTTTGATCACATTCGATATTTTGACACCAGACCCACCATTATTGTTTGAGATTTTACCCCAACACTCAGATCTGCTGAAAAGGCAACAGTAGACAGTTTGTTTTCTATTGCTGGTTATGAATAACCTATGATGTTGTGTGGCTGCAGTAGTGGCCACGTGATTTTGAAATTCCAAATTTGAACACTTCAATCTGGAGGGATTTCTGCCCAAACCTGCTGGGTTCCGAGATTTGCTCCTGAGTCTCTGGCATCCTGGTCATTAAGCAGCTTGATCAGGAGTCAGAGAGGCCGTTCATGGACAATGACTTGGGGTCTCGTTGGGACGGGGAGGACAGGACTGGCTCCACCCCCATCCTGTGAGGCCCAACAAGTTTTGTCACTGAGGGCCCAAGCCTGACTGTCCAGTGACCTCTGGAGGATGGTGGCCACCTGGCCGCCAGGGGGAACAGGCCAAGGCATGAACCCATGGGCCCAGCACTGCAGGGACCAGACGCCTTTCTGCCAAAAGCCACTGGGTTTCGAGAATTGTTTCTGAGTCTGTGGGATCATGGCCATTAAGCAGTTCAATCAGGAAGCAGAGAGGCCATGCCTCCAATGATACAGCTGAGCCGGAGGGGGCTTGTGGGTGTGTTTCACACATACCTAACTTTGGCTGTTTACTTTCTTGGTAAACTTTGCCCCAAGTTTTTGGGTTCTGGCCAAAGACACAGAAGCAATTTTGGGGTATCTGGAGTCTGAAGGTGCCATCAGGCTGCTGATGCATTCGCCTCACAAGGACAGTGTTTTTCGTTTGTTTGTTTGTTTGTTTGTTTGTTTTTAATGTAGGAGTACTGCTATTTATTCCGCCACTGATTAGCTGATTGAATTGGGCTTGAACTCCACCTTACTTTTTTTGTTTTTCATAATTTTATTTATTTATTTATTTATTTATTTTTCTTCTTATGTTTATTTATTGAATCACCGTGGGAAAAGTTACAAAGCTTTCAGATTTAAGTCTCGGTCATGCAATGATCAAACACCTTTCCCTTCACCCTTCACCAGTGCTCATTTTTCACCACCAAGAACCCCACTATACCCCAGCTCCCACCCACCCAATGCCTATGAGGCAGATGATTTCTACTTAACTCTTCTCTACATTGATTACATTCATTATTTCGACAAAAGATGCACCATGAGAGCTGGAGCAATAGCACAGTGGGTAGGGCGTTTGCCTTGCACGCGGCCAACCCGGGTTCGATTCCCAGCATCCCATATGGTCTCCTGAGCACCGCCAGGGGTGATTCCTGAGTGCAGAGCCAGGAGGAACCCCTGTGCATTGCCAGGTGTGACCCAAAAAGCAAAAAAAAAAAAATATGCACCATGATTGTTTAGAATTTACCCCCCAGCAATCAGAATGGCTGAAAAGGCATTGTGAAATACGTTGTTTTCTATATAAAGTTTGGAGTTCGGGGCTGGAGAGATAGCATAGCGGGTAGGGCGTGTGCCTTTCACGTTGCCAGCCCGGGTTGAGTCCCAGCATCCATATGGTCCCCTGAGCACCGCCAGGAGTCACTCCTGAGTGCAGAGCCAGGAGTAACCCCTGTGAGTGCAGAGCCAGGAATAACCCTTGTGCATCGCCAGGTGTGACCCAAAAAGCCAAAAAAAAAAGTTTGGAGTTCCTCCCCTCCAAACACAGGTGTGAGGTGCTGCATTTCGCTGAGCAAGCAGAAGGAAAGCAGAGAGCTCGGGCCCAGTGGTTGATGCAGATTGCTGGGCCGGGCCGTCGAGCAAGGGAAATTTGGGGATCTCTGGGACCCGACCTCGGGCCCAGTGCTCTCCGGGGCCCCTGGCTTGGTCGTGTCCTACGAGTTGGGGGCGAGCCTGGCCTTTGTGCTTGCATTGCGTTTGGACGGGCAGGTGGGGTGTTCAGGGCCCAGCTGCTGACACCTGATCCCGCCCTGGCCAGGTGGGAGGACGGAGCTTGGCGGCTGGCCCCGGAGATGCCCAAGATAACCAGTCAAGGAGATAACCAGAGTCAATCCCAGTCGAGTTGGGTGATAGGCTGAGATAACGCACCGAGCCGCTGAGACAGATCCTGTCTGGGGACGCTCGGGCACCTTGATCCCAGGCCGGCCTGGCCTGGCGGGGGTCGGGGGCGAGTGGGCACCAACCAACCTTGGCGTTTCCGTGGCTCAGAGCTTCCGGGCCCTTCCGCTTGCTCTGCTGTTGTTTCGTTTTTGGGTCACACCTGGACATGCTCCGGGGTCACTCCTGGCTCTGCACTCAGGACTTACTCCTGGAGGTGCTCTGGGGTCCCTATGGGATGCCGGGATTGAACCCGGGTCAGTTGTGTGCAAGGCAAACGCCCTCCCTGCTGTACTAGAGTTCTGGCCCCATGGCCCAAAACTTAAAGAAAAATCCTTGCTGGGGTTGCCCCGTCCCTGGCGCTCTGTCAGCCTCGTGGGTCTGCACACGGCTTGTGCGACTGCCTCGAGTGGCCAGTGACAAGGGCACCCGCCTGT